TGGTGCAGGGTTGGCTGGTGAACCGCATTGTGGTTGTAGATGGAGGCCTTGCATTGGGTAACCCGAGACTGAAGGTCCAGTCTGAGCACAGAACACTGTGGTTCCGGCTGCCAGCTTCCCTGGGCCCAGATCCTGGAGGTTACCAGGCCTGCTTATGCCTCAGTCTCCCTGGGTGCAGTGGTGGTGTTTGAGGACACAGTATGCCGGGAATGCCCCAGGCGCTGGTGCTGGGCAGGTGCAGGGTGGAGGCAGCAGGTGGAGGATGGTGTGCAGGGAGGTGCAGAGGCTGGGGTGGCTGGAGTGAGAGGCAGGCATAGCACGTGACTGACCCCCTCCCTCCTTGTCCCAGCTTCCCTCATGCTAACGAGCACTTGCTATGTGCAAGGCCTTTGCCTGTGCGGTTCAGATGGCAGGCAGGACACCCCGCTTCCAGGCCTGGGCCTCGCTGCCCACACCCCCATGCTGGGGAAGGCAAGGACTGTGCCCGACCCCACTGCGCTGTGGCTGTGAGGGGGAGGCGGATGACAGAGGCGGGGTCGCGTGCTGTCCAGCAGCGGGTGGCCCTGTGAGGGAGAGTGGCCTGTGTGTGACTGCACCAGGAAGGACGTGGAGACACACTGGCCCTGTGCTGTGTCCTCAGCCCAGTTTGTGATGGGGTGGCAGGAAGCGCTGGCCGCCTGGGTGTCAGGGTCCCGCTGCTGGGGACGGTCGCTGCCATCCTGTCCTGAGCTGGGCGGTGGGGGCCCGAGGCTCACTTGTCATCGTGGGCACCTCTTGTGTGTCCACGCGTGGTCCTGGAGCTCCACGTGGCCAGCGCCGAAGTTTGTCCTGGCACGCACTCCTGACGGCTGTCCTGTCTCTCCTGCAGCCTGCCAAGGAGAAAGCCGGGCCTGAGGCCTTCCCCTGCAGGACAGGGGCGAGCTCAGGGGCCAAGCGCTGATGTTCATGAAATGAACTTGGCGGAGCTGACTGGGGAGAGGTCTCCTCCGAAGCCTTGTGCCCAGAGGGAGAAAGGGTTTCCCCCAGGTGGGTGGGTGGGTGGCTGGCATGGGGGCCAAGGCCCGGGGAGGGCCTGGGGAGGAGGTGGCCCCCAGACTGAGCCTGCAGGACGAGAGGGGGCTGCCACTGTGTGGAAGCACCCCCGGAGAGGAGTGCTGTGTTTGGAGCCAAGGCCTGGGGCACTGGTACCCTGTGGCTGCCCAGGGGACCTGGGCGGGGGGGGGGGGGAGATGTGGGGGTTGGAGGGATGGGCCACTCTGGAGGGATGGGGACTCATTGGATGTGTCAGCAGGGCGACACTGTCCAGCCGTCACTGTGCACAGCAGGCCTAGAGGGTCACTGGTGAGCTGGGAGTGGCCTGGCTGCCTGGCCTAGTACAGAAATTGGGCCGGGGGGGTGGGGGGGGAGAGTGAAGTGCTCTGAGCCCTCGGGAGAGTGGGCCTGGAGGACGGCATCTACTCCGGTCCCACAGTCCTGGGAGCACAGAACACAGCTCCCTTCCTGGTATAGGAGAAGACCTCCAGAGGGGTAGCTCCTCCATGCCCACCCAGGGCCCCCAGGGCCGAGGAGGAGGAGGAGAAGCCCCTCTCTGCTTCCCATCCACACAGACAGGGCTGTCTGCTGGCCACGGGCCTCTCCCCTCCCACCGCTCTCTCTGCTCTGCATCCCTGCTCTCAGCCGCCATTCTCCTAGGGAGTGTGTCCCCCATCTCCCCATGTCCTCTGTGTCCCCCTGGCAGGGCTGGACGCCTTCTGGGGACCTTGGCTCAGGTCTGGTCCTAACCGAGTCTCCCTCTTGCCTCATAAGAGGCTTTTGTTTATTTTTCTTTGTTGGTGGATATCAACCTTTCATTAGTTTTCAGCACTGAGGTTTGATCCCAGGGCCTCCTGCTTGCGAGGGAGTTCCTCTAACAATTTGAGCCATGCCTCCAGTCCCTTTTGCTCAGTTATCGTTTGCAGTGTCTTACCCAGTGCCATCCCGAACCACAATCTCCTAACTATGCCTGGCTCATAGATAGAACCACAGGCATGTACCACTATGCCTGGATTGTTGGTTGAGATAGGATCTCACTCACTTCTTCCAGGGTTGGTCTCCACCTTCAGTGCTCCCAGTCTCCTCCCAAGTAGCTGGGAATGTGTCCCACATTCATTTGCCCTTTGGAACCTCATGTTGAGGTCTCCCTGACCTCCGTCTGTCAAGTGGGGATGCTGGCATTCTTCCTGCCCTCCACCCCTTCAGGAGAGCCTCTGCCCCCACAGACACTAGATTGCCCCTAAACAAAAAAGCAGTCTAGGCTCTGAGGGGTCACAAACCCCCAGCCTCATCCATGGAGGCGCCATTGGCATCTGAAGGGGCCCATGGCTTCCCTGGGTACTGACTGGCACTCAGCCCAGTCGGGAGCAGTAGGGGCCAGATGGCTGTGAGATCAGAGGAAGGTCATGGGAAGATCAGAGGAGAGGCAGAGGGGAGGTCAGGTGGGAGAGGCCGGGTGGGGGTTGTCCTCGGAAGGGAAGGGACGCATTCAAGTCTCGCCTGGGCTGGCAGGGTGGAGAGAGATGCCAGGAGAAGAAGGAAGGGCCTGAGGCGGCTCTCCCTGCTGGCTGCCTTCCTCCTTGGCCGTGCTGTGAGTTCCAGGATGTGGCCAGAGGTGTTTGTTCCCTTGCTTCTCCTCGTGACATTGCAACTGCTGTGTGGGTCCCCAGTGGGCTTGTGCCAGGGCCTCCTGCGTCATGGTGTCATGCTAGTGACTCCGGCCGGAGGGAGGCCTGTTTACACGGGGGGGGGGGGGGGGGGGGGGGGGAGGCACGGGCTGTGGGCCCGGCCTCTGAGGAGAGGCCTCAGCCTCCTGGGCAGGGACCTTTGTGTGAGGCCTCTGGAGCCTGCTGGCAAGTCTCGTCCCTAACCCTGAGCTCCTGGGAGCCCTTGATCCCGTCCTTGTCCCCAAAGCCCCTGAGAGCCGCATCTTCTCCCACCACATCTCCAACCAATCCTAAAAGGAAGGATTTTCCAAAGCTTCAGCAAGAATAGCTTCAGAGCTGTGCTGTTGAGGTTCCGCAGGCCCCGTTTCCTTACCGGTAAATGGGTGGTAAAGCCAACTGCCACCTACTGGCCATCTGCCCTCTGCTGGGTGCCACTTCCAGGCACTGTTTTGGTTCCCGATGTTACAGGTTAGGAACTGAGACTCGGGGAGGTGAAGTAACTTGTGCCTAAGGTCACACAGCTAGCAAATGGTGAGCCGAGATTTGAACCTGGTCTGGCCCCAGGTCTGCACTGTGCTCGCTGCACACATGCCTCCTGTGGTTCTGTGAGAATTCAGTGATGTGATCCCATGGAGTGCTGAGCTCAGCCCAAAGGGGGGTGGGCAGGTGTGTTGTGACGTAACTGCAGTAGTTTCAAGGGACACCTGCAAGCGCACACTGTGCATTCAGCCCTTGGGGCTCTTCTGAACGTCCACACAGTCGGTGTTACCCCTCGAGTGTTTGGAGGCTGTGATTAAGTTACACAGGGACTGCTTGAACACTGTGCAATACCATGACAGTCATGTGATAATGAGCTACCTACTAAGTAACTCCTGGGAGGGCAGTGCACCCAGTGCTGCTAAGTAACAACCAGGAGGGTAGTGCTGCCATGTGGCTGAGTAACGACCAGCAGAGTCGTGCTCGCGTTGTTAGGAAGTGTCCTCCGGGGAGGGTGGTGCAGCCGTGCTGTGAGGCTGAGGGCTGGAGGACCGGTGCTCTCACTGTGAGAGCCCCCTGCGCAGGCGCACACAGCCAGCCAGTGGGGCGGGTCATGCTACTGAACCCATGCAGTTTGTAACGTGGGAAATCCATATTCGTGGGCTTTTCACGCTCCTCCCCTGAGCACATCTCACTAAAGGCTCTTTCTCTCCATTATTAAGCTCCCTCTGTAGTCTCCTAGTCTTTATTTCATTTTATTTTATCTCCCTTGTCTCGGGCTAGGAAGGTGGCTCAGTGGTAGAGCGCTTGCCTTGCATGCCTGAGGCCCTGGGTTCGATTCCTCAGCACCAAATACGCAAAAAGAAAAAGCCGGAAGTGGTGCTGTGGCTCAAGTGGTAGAGCGCTAGCCTTGAGCTGAAGAGCTGAGGGACAGCGCCCAGGCCCAGAGTTCAGGCCCCACAACCGGACCCCCCCCCAAAAAAAAAAGAATACATTAATCTCCCTTGTCTCCAAGGCCAAACCTCTGCAGGCAGTGAAGCCCGTGTTCATCAGAGACATCAGTGTCCTCAGCGCTGCCTGCCCCTTCAGCAGGTGGCCTGGTGGCTTGGGTTGGTGCCAGGATTTGTGGCTGTGCCTTAGGGAGTCAGTGTGCTTTCTGGGAACTCAGGAACTAATAAGATAGCAGGTTTGGGGGGCCTGGATGTAGCTCAGGGGTAGGGAGCTTGTTTAGTGCGCGTACACAAAGCAGAAAGAGCACTTTTTGCAGTGTAAACTATCCCCCACCCCCAGAGGCCTCAGCAGCCCCGCCGCCCATGGCAACGCCCTGGGCTTCTCCCAGAGTCAGTGGGAAGCAAAGGGTGAGATGGTTGCTCGCTGTCCCTTTCCCCTGGTGGGATGTTGTTAGTTGGAATGACGGTCACTGCTTGGTGTGGCTAGAAGCCGTCCACCTGCCAGGGCCTTAGTGCCATGGTGCGTGTTCACTGCTGCTGGCTCCTATGGTGCACCCACGAGGGAGTGTGATCTGACAGGGACACGGAGGCAGGGGGCAGGAGGCAGCCCAGCTCCCCGGGGCTGGGACGCTTCCTCTCAGCCTTCTGACCTCACACTCGGGCTCCTTTCTCTCTCTCCCTCCCTCCCTCCTTCCTTCCATCCCTCCCTCCCTGTCTTCCTTCCTCCCTCCTTCCCTCCTTCTTGCCTTCCTTTTTCAGCTCCCTGCAGGCCCAGAATGAGGAGCATTGCAGAGGTGCCCGCACAAGACCTGGCTGCCCACAGGTGTGCATGGGAGACCCCGCCCAGCTCACCCGAGACCCCACTGTCTTGCAGACGGAGGTACGGGCAGTGGGGCCCCCCACCCCACAGAGGATGCAGTTCTTCGGCCGCCTGGTGAATACCCTCAGCAGCGTCACCAACTTGTTCTCCAACCCATACCGCGTGAAGGAGGTGGCCATCGTCGACTACACCCTGAGTGAGCGCCTTCGGGAGGAAGGGCAGCTGATCCTGTTCCAGAATGTTCCCAATCGCACCTGGGACTGCATCCTGATCAGCCCCAAGAACTCACAGAACGGCTTCCGGTGGGTGGTGGTCAGCCATGACACACATACACACACACACACACACACACACACACACACCCCACATACATCATACACATAGAGAGACACATACAAACACATAGATACACACGGACATACACACAGAAACAGACACAGATACACACACACCACACATACACATTACACACAGACACGCACACATAGATACACACAGGTGCATGCGCGTGGGCGTGCATGTGCACATACACATACATACACGTCTCTGTCCTTTGGCTCCTCCTAGTAGCTCACTGGAGGTGCTATGTGGCTTCTGGGGCCCATCTGAGGGCTTGGGATTGGAGAGGCAGGTCTCTATGGAGGGCTTAGGAAGCACAGCCTAAGTTGTTTCCCACCTAGGTGTTGACCCAGGCGGATGGAGGGATGTGGGAAGGGTGGAGGAGGCTGAGAGGGCCCTGTAAGGTGACCTGTGACTGTCCTCACAGGGATGGCAGAGCTGTGTCTGCCTAGGCATGCCAGCAGGATATGGCAAGAGTCTAGGCCAGCGCCAAGGGCCTGGGCCAGCTTCAGGGCCAGGGTGGAGTAGGCTGGTGGAGCTGGCCAGATAAGCATTGATGTGTGCCCATACTGCCGCGGACCGGCTCTGTCGGGACAACGGAGGACACCTAGGGGAGGAACCTGGAATAGGGGGCAGATGGCAAACAGACAACTCACACACAAGAGGAGTGGATGCTGAGCGGGATTTAATGCAGAGGATAACAAACTTTTATAGCAAAAGTCTCCATGAGAAAGGGTAGAAGGTTACACAATCTTGCTGCAGGGCTTCATTCTTGGGTGGTCACCAGTTGGTCGCCTGATAGGCACTTGTTTCCGGCTTATCTCTAAGAAATACAATGGGTTTCGGTTTGTCACCAATTAACCATTACCTATTTTTATAGAGGCCTTAACTGTCCCATAAGATCTTTCCTGTTTCTTCTTTAATAGTAAGCGCCACGGAGGCCTAGATCTAGCAAGTCTCTTAGTAAATAAAAGAGAGTAGCAGGAAATTCTTTCTCCTAAGTAGTTCTCCCAGCAATTGCCATACATTCTTTCTATTCTAGCCGAGCAAATCTCTTACAAACAATTCCTTCTGCTGAAGTGACATCGTGAAACCCCCAATACTTTTATATTTGCTTATGACTTGTCTACTAGCCTCCATAAGAGGGGTTTCAGGGTAGCACTTAACTCTGGTGAGTTAGTCATATTTTTTAAGACACTCATCAGATGTTGGAGTCGTCAACACTCTTAAGAAAGAGCTTTGAATAAGGGAACATTGACAATGAGTAAGTACAATGAACAGCAGAAACAGTAAAAGATTAATAGGCACTCTTATACAGTGAAGAAAAGAAAAGCAGAAACACATCTTTCCCAGGGGCTTGCCAGCCTTTCCAGGAGGTAGGCCTCTTTGAAGCCCCATTCTCAGGTCTGAAAGCAGGTTTCCCATGCTAAGCAGACTCCACTGGAGTAGGTGTGGCACCATACCATACCCTTTTCCTCTCTGTCATCTACCCTTTGGACATGTGCTAGACACCCTCAGTGTCTCTGGAGGCTCAGGCCCCGCTGGCCTTACAAAATGCAATCGTGGTGTGTGTGTGTGTGTGCGCGTGCACACACGGGCGCGCATACATGGGTCATAGAGGGTTAAACTCAGGACCTGGGTGCTGTCCCTGAGTTTTATCTGCTCAAGGCTGATATTCTACCACTTGAATCACACCTCCACTTCTGGCTTTTTGGTGAATAGTTGGATATAAAAGAGTCTCATAGACTTTGTTGCCCAGGCTAACTTTTTTTTTTTTTTTGGGGGGGTCCAGTCGTGGAGCCTGAACTCTGGGCCTGGGTGCTGTCCCTGAGCTCTTCAGCTCAAGGCTAGCGCTCTACCACTTGAACCACAGCGCCACTTCCGGCTTTTTTCTCTTTGCTTATGTGGTGCTGAGGAATGGAACCCAGGGCCTCAGGCATGCAAGGCAAGCGCTCTACCACTGAGGCACCTTCCCAGCCCATGCCCAGGCTAACTTTGAACCATGATCCTCAGAACTCAGTCTCTTAAGTCACTAGGATTATAGGAGAGAGCCACCAGCACTGGCTTGACCTTGTTTGATTTTGACCATGTACAAGAGGCCAGAGACTTTAAGCTGGGGCTCTCAGATGTGACAGTCCAATTAGGAAAAGGCCATAGCAGGGATTTGGTTGGGTAACATATGAAAGCAGGGGAAGAGAGAGAGAGGGAGAGAGGGAGAAGTAGAGGAAGGGAGGGAGGGAGGGGAAAAAGGAAGGAGAAAGAGACACTTTTCAAACAGAGAAGTCAAGGTCAACTCCACATAGGCTGTGTGTTGGAGGGAGGAGAGACAGGCTACAGCCTGGAACAGCAGTGTCCTATTTTGGGGGGGGAGGGTCCAAGGCTCCTGACTGAGCTGGGCTGTGGGCTGAGAGCCCCATGGGGTTCAGCTTGGAGTCCTCCTCTCCTGTCCAGGCTTTTCCAGCTGGAGTCAGAGGCCGATGCTCAGGTGAACTTCCAACAGTACTCATCCCAGCTGCCGCCCTTCTATGAGAGCTCCACGCAGGTCCTGCAGGTGGATGTCCTGCAGCAGTTGACTGACCTCATCCGCAACCACCCCAGCTGGTCGGCCGCTCACCTGGCGGTGGAGCTGGGCATCCGAGAGTGCTTCCACCACAGCCGCATCATCAGGTGGGCGGCCCAGCTGTCTGGGCCACGTGTGTGTATGTGTTTATATCTCCCACGATGCCCCCAAGTCTTGGCTTGCAGCAGGCCTGTTCCTTGCTAGAGCCATCATGGTGGGCACAGTAGAGAAGGCCATTGGAGCCTAGGGAGGTTGAGTGTGTGAGATTTCTGCGTCCTTTGTCCCCCTCCACTCATTGCAGTGTGGTACTGAGCCCAGGTCCAAATGAGTCGTGACTCAGCCATGCTGGGAGGTGGGAATCTCCCAGCATGTACTTGGGTTTCCCACCTGCCCGTCCTGACCACCCTGCCCCTCTGTCACAGCTGTGCCAACAACACAGAGAACGAGGAGGGCTGCACCCCCTTGCACCTGGCCTGCCGCAAGGGGAATGGGGAGATCCTGGTGGAGCTGGTGCAATACTGCCATGCCCAGATGGACGTCACGGACAACAAGGGGGAGACGGCCTTCCATTACGCCGTGCAGGGTGACAACTCCCAGGTGCTGCAGGTAAGCAGGGCCAGGGCTGAGGCTGGTGTGGACCATGCCACCCGTGCGCCGTGCACTCATGAGTCATCCTAGGCCTTTCCTTGTCTCCCATTGATCATTGAAGGCTGAGTTCCTCCCTGGAGGGTGCACACTCCCTTTGCCCTTCTGACCCCTATCTGGGGACGTACCATTGGCCCCTGCTTTGACAGCCACGGTGTCTTTCAGCTCAACAGACTAACCTCAGGGCAGCTCAAAACCATCAGCTTCCCCAGGCACCACTGAGCCAGCAAGGCCCAGTGCCAGGCCCTAGGCCAGGCTTCAGGCGTGGTAGCCAGCCCCTTCCTGGGGGCTGCGGGACCCCTACCCAACCTACCCAACCAACAGGAACTCACCAAGCCAAACCAACGCCCCACTGGCTCCTGTGGGCCCTGGTGCCAGAGATGCTCATGTTAATTTTTTATTTCTAGGACAGAGGAATTTATTTTTTAATCTTATTTTAATTTTTTTATTATTATCTTTAAGTAGTTGTACAAAGAAGTTCCCATTCTACAAAACAGTATATGAATACAAGGTAGGACAGAGAAATTAAAAAAAAAACAAAAAACAATGGGCAAGTAGATGAAGTGATACTTTTAAAAAGCTACTTCATGTATTTATTCGATTGAAAGGAAAAGGCAGAACTCAGGTTATGCTTTGTGGTACAGAATGTGCAGGTCCTTTCAAAGGTTTTTCTTCTCTACCTGGCCATCAGGTTTTCCAGAAAAGGGGTCCCTACCTTGTACTCAGTGACTCTTGCCTCAACAAACCAAAAAATAATGTAAACTTTGTGTGTGTTTGTGTGCACTTCTGCATGCATGCATGTCACGTGAGTGTGCATGTGCACACGCACCAGTCCTGGGGTTTGAACTTAGGGCCTGGGTCCTGTCCCTTGGCTTTTTCACTCAAGGCTGATACTTTACCACTTGAACCACACCTTCACTCCTGGCTTTTGCTGGTTCATTGGAAAGGCTTACAGACTTTCCTGCCCAGGTTGGTTTCAGCCCTCAGCCTCTTGAGCCACTGGCACCTGGTCTGTTGTTCTTCGCGGCCTTCTTGTCAGCGTCCACGTGGTCCCCAACGCAGGTGGCTCAGTGTGCTGGAGAAGGGTTCCTTGTCTTGGGCTCCCACCCACCATGCTGTTTTCGTTTGTTTTGTCAGCTCCTGGGCAAGAACGCCTCCTCGGGCCTGAACCAGGTGAATAACCAGGGGCTGACCCCGCTGCACCTGGCCTGCCAGATGGGGAAGCAGGAGATGGTCCGCGTGCTGCTGCTGTGCAATGCCCGCTGCAATGTGATGGGGCCGGGCGGCTACCCGATCCACACCGCCATGAAGTTCTCCCAGAAGGGGTGAGCCTCCGCCCGCCCCGAGCCCTGGGTGCAGGCCTGGCGCCCACCGTGCGCTGGCAAAGAGTTGTGGGGCCGCTGGGGCTCTGTCCTCAAGGTCAGCCAGGCTGAAGCTTTGTCAGTGCACCTTAACTGACCGTGGACTCCCTCAGCCAGAGGAGGTGGGCCTCTAGGCCTGGTCCCCTTTCCCTGTGGAGCTCTCCTCTACACCACACGCAAACCCCCTCTAGGGGTCTTCAGTGCTTCGGAGCTTCTGTGCCTGCCTGGCTTGAAGCCCAAGGACACTTGCCAAGGTGGCCAGGGCCCTGTCCACTCAGGCACATGTGCTTTCCTGACAAGTTGTGTCACCACTCCCGCCCCTCCCAGGTCCCAGACTTGGAACCCTGGTTTCCAGTTCTTCACTGTGTGGGGTGTGTATACGGGAGGGTGTGATTGGAGATGGCTTATTACAACATAGAATGTCTCAAGAATGAAGGACAGGATTGGAGGTATGGCTCAGTTGGTGGAGCACCAACCAGTGGTGTAAACGTCAGGTACTGACTTCTTATCCCTTAGACCTTAAAAAAAAAAAAAAAAAAGGAAAAGAATGAGTGAATGGAGTCAGCTGGTCCTTTAACCTGGTCCCTGTTCCCAGACACGGAAGAGATCCAAGTAGCTCCAGGCAGGAGACTCAAGTCACCCGCCCACCCCCATGGACCAGCGTGCTGGACAGCCATGCCCACCCCGTGTGGAGGGGAGACCACAGACACTCTCCTGCAGGCCCCTCCCCCTGGTCTGCACCCACAGGACACTGCTGTCCCCTCATAGGCTGGTCCCAGCATGGACAGTCTTTCCTTCATTCTCCCACGCCCTAATGAACTAGAACTTTCAGAGGGACTTGACTGGTTACAGTAATCACCAACAGCCCCAGTGTCAGGCGACCCGAGTGCCACAAGCCATGGGTGATCTGCACCCAGAAGCCACACAGGCTGCTGCAGGCCGCTCCGAGGGAGCCTTGTTCCTCAGCGCGCTCAGCCACCTCCCCTCTCTCCCCCCGGCTGTCCTCTGTGGAGATGGGAAGGCACGGGGCATCTGAGTGCCAGCAGGGTGGTGCTAGTGTCTCCACACAGTAGCCAGCCTAGCCCTGCTCTGGGAATTGCCTGTGTTCGCAGGCTGGTGTCCCTCTGCTTTGTCCTTCAACTCAGCTGACCTTGACAAGACCTGGGTCTGTGTCTGTCCTCACATGATAGTCCTGCCTATGAGGAAGGGGACAGATGATCAGACAGATGAACTGAGATGGAGGGCACTTGGGGCTGGGGGAGGGGGTGCATAGGCAGCTGGCCCAGGAGGGCTCTGTGGGGCTGAGCCCAAGCCCAGCTGTGAGCGGACATCTCGTAGTGGTTTTGGTGTGCCTGGCTCGGACCACAGAAGATGCCTTGTATGTGGTGGCCATTTGTATGCCATCTTTGAATGATGTCTGTTGTGGTATGTGTGTGTGTGTGTGTGTGTGTCTTGGGGATTAAACTTAGGGCCTTGGCTCTGTCCCTGAGCATTTTTACTCAAGGCTAGCACTCTACCACTTAAGCCACATCTCCATTTCCTGCTTTTTTTTTGGTCAGTCGTGGGGCTTCAACTCTGGGCCTGGGCGCTGTCCCTCAGCTCTTCAGCTCAAGGCTAGCACTTGAGCCACAGCGCCACTTCTGGCTTTTTCTGCTTATGTGGTGCTGAGGAATCGAATTCAGGGCCTCATGCATGCAAGGCAAGCGCTCTACCACTGAGCCACCTTCCCAGCCCTTTGATTTGTAAAATTTTTGTCCCCAGTGTATAGGTTGTTGATTCTTTCACTGTGCAGCAGCCTGTTAATTCAGTATATTTTCTTTTTTCTTTTTGTCAGTTATGGGGCTTGAACTCTGGGCCTAGGTGCTGGCCCTCAACTCTTCAGCTCAAGGCTAGCGATCTACCACTTGAGCCACAGCGCCACTTCTGGTTTTTCTGGTGGTTTATTGGCTTATCGCCAATATCACTTGGCCTTTTCTGCCCAGGCTGATCTTAGATCTCAGGCTCCTGAGTAGCTAGGAATACAGGCATGAGCCACCATTGCCTGCAGTTCAGTATATTTTCATTTTTTTTCCCCTCTGTAGCCTTAGCTTTGGTGTGCTCTTCTAGAAAACTTTGCCAAGGTAGCTAGTGGGTTTGGTTGTACCTTTGTTTGTAGGTGAACTCCCTAATCAGTAAGGGGTTATAGAACTTGGGGTCAGAAACCCAGGCTAACTCCATCTCTTCCTCCTCCTCTTCTTCTCTCCCCTTTTCCCCCTCAGGTGTGCTGAAATGATTATCAGCATGGACAGCAACCAGATCCACAGCAAAGACCCTCGCTATGGAGCCAGCCCCCTCCACTGGGCCAAGAACGCTGAGGTAGGCGGAGTCTGCGGGTGGGAGGGGCGGACCCAGCCCAGAGCTGCCTCCCTGGTGCGTGCAGGAAGGTGGCTCCTGAGAGGACTCTGATGGCCACACTGAGGGCAGGTCTGGTAGTGGGCTGATGAGCCTGAGGAGAAGAGTTGAGGGACTGGCATTGCTCTGCTGCTTGCTGGCAGGTACCAGTTGTTAGAGGTGTTTGACACCAGCAGGGTAGCACATGAGAAGATTCTGCACCAGTGCCCCCATGATCCATCTTGCTGTTCTGTGGCCCAAACCAGAAGGGAGGAGTCTGCCTGCCTCTGTGGGGCACCTCTGAGTGCCAGACCCCTTGTTCATGCTTCCTCATCATGGCTGCCTCTTCCCCGCAGTGAGCTAGACACGCCCTACTTCACAGAGAGGACAGTGCCCCAGCAGCCATGTCCTGTCCAGGCCGCCATAGCGGGAGGAGAGGCTCAGCTGTGTCCCCCACAGTCCTGTGGTTGGAAGGTTTCTGGGGAGCAGGGATGTAGGTGCCAAGGCCCTTGAGAAGTGATCCCTGAGCGTGCCCCCCCCCTCACAAGGAGTGGGGTGCTTCTGGGACAGGGCCAAGGGGGCCTCGCAGAGATGGATGGGGTCGTTAGCTCCAGGAAAGGACCAGAAGCTCAGAGAATCATCTTTCAGCTGTTTGTCCCTGGGGTACTGAGGATGTAGGGAGTCAGGGTCCAGGGACACCCCAGAATGGAGGCCTGCCCCAGGCTCCTCTCCCATTGCTAGAGCTTTCTAGAGGGCTCACGGCTGAAGACCACTCAGGGAGGAAGTGATAGCCCAGGCATCGTGGGCCATGGCTGCTCCCTCGAGCGTCATGCTGACGGGGCCTGGCCACTCCCCAGATGGCGCGCATGCTGCTGAAGCGGGGCTGTGAGGTGGAGAGCACCAGTGCCTCGGGGAACACAGCTCTGCACGTGGCCGTGATGCGCAACCGCTTCGACTGCGTCATGGTGCTGCTGACCTACGGGGCCAACGCGGGCGCCCGCGGCGAGAACGGCAACACCCCGCTGCACCTGGCCATGTCGGTGAGTCCGCCTCTGTCCTCCCTGCCCAGGCCTGCCGGGCTGCCGTGCGGTGGGGGCGCAGGAAGGCCTCGCCACGGCTCTCCTCCACTCCCGCTTCCCTTCCAAGGCTCAGTTCAGACCTCTGCCTCCTCCCCAGGAAGCCTTCCATGTCCTCCCTCAGCACGAAGAGAGGTTTCCAGTATCTTTTCTTCTCTGTGCCCCCAGCCCATTTGCCCCTTAAATCATGTCAGAGAACAAATGGCCCTGGCTGCAGATGGACATGTCTGCCTTGGACACGTCATGGCTCGCCATCTGGCTGCCTTGCTTTCCTCCATCTGGAAGATGGAGAAGAGTAATGGTGGCACCTGGTAGCTCGAGGTAGAACTCACCACCTGGTAGGACACCAGTGCCTGGCGGGGGGCGGGTGTCTCATAGAGGCCAGGGCCGCCGCCTTGACACATCTCATCTCCCTGGGAACTATAGGGCCCCTTACACAGCAGGCGTCCCGGTGGGCTGGGACATCTGCTGGCTTCTCACTGGCCCGTGAAGCCCTGGCAGTCTGTTCAGAAAGTATGTGCACGTATTAGATGCAGGGGCTGTTACATCAGTTCACATGAGGGTGGTGATGCCACATGGCAGACATTGATGAGCAAGTATCAGAGAAGGAGGATAGACAGACACCCAAGACCAAAAGACAAGTCGGGATGGATTTGAAACATCTTATTCCTACCAAAGGTTCTCACTGTAGCAGAGACATTGCTGCCCAGGATGCTCAAACTATAATGAAGACTGTCACGTAGTTGCCCTGACTGGACCCTTCACTAGTCATTCTCAAACTTTGGTTCAACCAGTCCATGGATACTTCTGTGAATAACGGGTTTTGTTTTGTACAGGCTTTTGTGTGTGTATGCTGGCACTAGGGCTTGACCTCAGGGCCTCACACTCTTGTTTGGCTTTTTCATTCAAGGCTGGTGCTCTACCACTTGAGCCACAGCTCTGCTTCTGGCTTTTTGTGAGACAGTAGTCTCACAAATTTATCTATCTGGGCTGGCTTTGAATTTCAGTCCTCAGATCTCAGCCTCCTGAGTAGCTTGACTGGCTACTTTGTGTTCTTTGTCATGTGAGTGCCCACTGCTGCCTCTTCTGTATTACATGGACCTTTACCCATCATGCTTTGGTGTAGTCCCTGGAAAACATCAGTGCACCAAGTATTGGTCTCTGAATGGCCTGTGTGGATATGTAGTACAGGTTGGGTAGCCCTGATCCAAAATGCTTGGGGCCAGGACCACTGTCATCTCACAGGTTTGGATTTCCGAATCCTTTGCATATGCTTCATCCATTGGGCAACCTTGTCTGAATATCTGTGGAGTCCCAGAGTTCAGGTAAGGAGTGCTCAACATTGTCATAGAAAGCTTGAGTTTCCAACCTCATCATCTTAATTAGACCAGGTACTAGTGGCTCATGCCTCTCTAAGCCTCGCTACTCGGGAGGCTGAGATCTGAGGACTGAGATTCAAAGCCAACTCAGGCAGGAAAGTGCATGAGACCCTTCTTTCCAATTAAGCACCAGAAAGCCTGAAGTAGAGCCTGTGGCTCAAGTAGTAAAGTGCTACCCTTGAGAAAAAAGAAAATTTGAGGAAGATGTCAAGCTGATCATGGCAATATGCAAGTTTCCTGAAATCCTTATGGTTAGTTGAAACCATGGGCAAAGAATACTGGTGGGTTTTTTTTCTTTTTTCTATTGGTACTGGGGTCTGAATTCAGGTCCTCACACTCTTATTCAGCTTATTTGCTCAGCAAGTGCTCTACTACTTGAGCCATGTCTTCAGCCTAGCTTTTTGCTGATTTATGTTGGAGATGGAATTTTTTTGTTGGTCATGGGGCTTGAACTCAGGGCCTGGGAGCTGTCCCTGAGCTTTCTTGCTTAAGGCTAGTGCTCTACCACTTTGAACTACAGTGCCGCTTTCAGTTTTCCGGTAGTTAATTGGAGATAGGAATCTCATGGACTTTCCTACCAGGCTGGCTTTGAACTGTGATTCTCAGATCTCAGCCTCCTAAGTAGCTAGGATTACAAGCTACCAGTGCCAGGCTTGGAGATGGAGACTTTCCTGCCTTGCTGGCTTTGACTGTCAGTCCTCCAGATTTCAGCTTTCTGAGTAGCTAGGATTATAGGCATGAGCCACTGGCCCTGGCTCAGTTGTTTTTCTTTTTTTTTTTTTTTTTTTGGTCAGTCATGGGGCTTGAACTCTGGGCCTGGGCGCTGTACCTCAGCTCTTCAGCTCAAGGCAAGCGCTCTACCACTTGAGCTACAGGGCCACTTCCGGTTTTCTGGTGGTTTATTGGAGATAGGAGTCTCACGGTCTCTCCTGCCCGGGCTGGCTTTGAACCGCGATCCTCAAATCTCAGCCTCCTGAGTAGCTAGGATTACAGGCGTGAGCCACCGGCGCCTGGCTTCAGTTGTTTTTCTTGAAGCAGCAGGTTCCCAATTTCTGTTTTGAGAAAGCATTCCCTAAATGACCAAAGCAGGACATACCTAGTTTATCTGACAGTCTTTTCTAGTAAAAATAGAGTCTTGGAGCCAAAGTGGCCAATTGGGCTAGTAACAGAGACAGCTATGTCACTATGACTTAACCAAAGCTATTCTCTGGTGAAACTTGCCCCTCTCTGGACAAAAACTGTGCTCTGGCTGTTAATTTGATTAGTGGCGAGGCACCAGCAGTACAAATGTCAGAGTGGTACAGGAGGCAGATAACACCTTGACATTCGATGAGAGCAGCTGGAGGGCTGCGGGTGCAGTGATAGAGCAGCTGGAGGGCTGCGGGTGCAGTGATTAGAGCAGCTGGAGGGCTGCGGGTGCAGTGATAGAGCAGCTGGAGGGCTGCGGGTGCAGTGATAGGGCAGCTGGAGGGCTGCGGGTGCAGTGATTAGAGCAGCTGGAGGGCTGCGGGTGCAGTGATAGAGCAGCTGGAGGGCTGCGGGTGCAGTGATAGGGCAGCCGGAGGGCTGCGGGTGCAGTGATAGAGCAGCTGGAGGGCTGCGGGTGCAGTGATAGAGCAGCTGGAGGGCTGCGGGTGCAGTGATAGGGCAGCTGGAGGGCTGCGGGTGCAGTGATTAGAACAGCTGGAGGGCTGCGGGTGCAGTGATAGAGCAGCCGGAGGGCTGCGGGTGCAGTGATAGGGCAGCCGGAGGGCTGCGGGTGCAGTGATAGGGCAGCCGGAGGGCTGCGGGGCAGTGATAGAGCAGCTGGAGGGCTGCGGGTGCAGTGATAGAGCAGCTGGAGGGCTGCGGGTGCAGTGATAGGGCAGCCGGAGGGCTGCGGGGCAGTGATAGAGCAGCTGGAGGGCTGCGGGTGCAGTGATAGAGCAGCTGGAGGGCTGCGGGTGCAGTGATAGGGCAGCCGGAGGGCTGCGGGTGCAGTGATAGGGCAGCCGGAGGGCTGCGGGGCAGTGATAGAGCAGCTGGAGGGCTGCGGGTGCAGTGATAGAGCAGCTGGAGGGCTGCGGGTGCAGTGATAGGGCAGCCGGAGGGCTGCGGGGCAGTGATAGAGCAGCTGGAGGGCTGCGGGTGCAGTGATAGAGCAGCTGGAGGGCTGCGGGTGCAGTGATAGAGCAGCTGGAGGGCTGCGGGTGCAGTGATAGGACAGCTGGAGGGCTGCGGGGCAGTGATAGAGCAGCTGGAGGGCTGTGGGTGCAGTGATAGGGCAGCTGGAGGGCTGCGGGTGCAGTGATAGAGCAGCTGGAGGGCTGCGGGTGCAGTGATAGGGCAGCTGGAGGGCTGCGGGTGCAGTGATTAGAGCAGCTGGAGGGCTGCGGGTGCAGTGATAGGGCAGCTGGAGGGCTGCGGGTGCAGTGATAGAGCAGCTGGAGGGCTGCGGGTGCAGTGATAGGGCAGCTGGAGGGCTGCGGGTGCAGTGATTAGAGCAGCTGGAGGGCTGCGGGTGCAGTGATAGGGCAGCTGGAGGGCTGCGGGTGCAGTGATTAGAACAGCTGGAGGGCTGCGGGTGCAGTGATAGAGCAGCCGGAGGGCTGCGGGTGCAGTGATAGAGCAGCCGGAGGGCTGCGGGTGCAGTGATAGAGCAGCCGGAGGGCTGCGGGTGCAGTGATAGAGCAGCCGGAGGGCTGCGGGTGCAGTGATAGAGCAGCCGGAGGGCTGCGGGTGCAGTGATAGAGCAGCCGGAGGGCTGCGGGTGCAGTGATAGAGCAGCCGGAGGGCTGCGGGTGCAGTGATAGAGCAGCCGGAGGGCTGCGGGTGCAGTGATAGGGCAGCCGGAGGGCTGCGGGTGCAGTGATTAGAACAGCTGGAGGGCTGCGGGTGCAGTGATAGGGCAGCTGGAGGGCTGCGGGTGCAGTGATAGAGCAGCTGGAGGGCTGCGGGTGCAGTGATTAGAGCAGCTGGAGGGCTGCGGGTGCAGTGATTAGAGCAGCTGGAGGGCTGCGGGTGCAGTGATAGAGCAGCTGGAGGGCTGCGGGTGCAGTGATAGAGCAGCTGGAGGGCTGCGGGTGCAGTGATAGAGCAGCTGGAGGGCTGCGGGTGCAGTGATTAGAGCAGCCGGAGGGCTGCGGGTGCAGTGATAGGGCAGCCGGAGGGCTGCGGGTGCAGTGATTAGAACAGCCGGAGGGCTGCGGGTGCAGTGATAGAGCAGCCGGAGGGCTGCGGGTGCAGTGATAGAGCAGCCGGAGGGCTGCGGTTGCAGTGATAGAGCAGCCGGAGGGCTGCGGGTGCAGTGATAGAGCAGCCGGAGGGCTGCGGTTGCAGTGATAGGGCAGCCGGAGGGCTGCGGGTGCGGTGATAGGGCAGCCGGAGGGCTGCGGGTGCGGTGATAGAGCAGCCGGAGGGCTGCGGTTGCAGTGATAGGGCAGCCGGAGGGCTGCGGGTGCGGTGATAGGGCAGCCGGAGGGCTGCGGGTGCGGTGATAGAGCAGCCGGAGGGCTGCGGGTGCAGTGATTAGAGCAGCCGGAGGGCTGCGGGTGCAGTGATAGAGCAGCTGGAGGCCTGCGGGTGCAGTGATAGAGCACCTGGAGGGCTGCGGGTGCAGTGATAGAGCAGCCGGAGGGCTGCGGGTGCAGTGATAGAGCAGCCGGAGGGCTGCGGGTGCAGTGATAGAGCAGCCGGAGGGCTGCGGGTGCAGTGATAGAGCAGCCGGAGGGCTGCGGGTGCAGTGATAGAGCAGCCGGAGGGCTGCGGGTGCAGTGATAGAGCAGCCGGAGGGCTGCGGGTGCAGTGATAGAGCAGCCGGAGGGCTGCGGGTGCAGTGATAGAGCAGCCGGAGGGCTGCGGGTGCAGTGATAGGGCAGCCGGAGGGCTGCGGGTGCAGTGATAGGGCAGCCGGAAGGCTGCGGGTGCAGTGATAGGGCAGCCGGAGGGCTGGGGGTGCAGTGGTAGAGCAGCTGGAGGGCTGCGAGTATAGTGCACGGTTTCCTGTGTGCTGCTCCTCTGCATGTGCCTGCTTTCTTCACAGCTTTTGAGCCATTCTTCAGCCCCCTCTCCATTTAGGTGGTCAATTGCATCTTCAAGCTGTTCTACTTTGAAATGTCCTTAAACTTCTGTGGAAGTCATTGTCACTGCACAAGTGACAAACCAGTGCCATATGTAAAAGGAAACCCCCAAGAGCATGAAATGAGCGATGCGAATGTGCGCTTTACTGGATCCCGTGTGCATCTTCATAAACGTGAAGAATGTTTGGGAAACCACTTCACACATCACTGCTGCATTCTCCAGGCAGGGAAATGGGGTCCTGGGAGGGAACATGATGAGAACAGAGCTTTGGTTTCCAGTTGCCAGTCGGTTTGTCCTGTGCAGTCTTCCCACCCTGCTGCTTGGCCCTAGAGATTTAAATGAAAGTTCTCCAGAAAGAGAGAAAAACTACCCTAGAAGGCAGCCATTGGGCCAGGCATTGGCTCTGTTTCCCTGGACCGGATGGGCTTTCCCTGAGAGCTGCAGCAGCTAATTCCTTAGCATCCCAGGGCTCCTGGAAGCACATAGGAGCTTCTAGAGGAGCCTGGTGACCCTCCCATTTCTATGTGGGCTCTGAAACCCCCTGGTCAGGACACTAGTCATCAAACTGCAGGCTGTGGAATACCAGATTCCCTGGGAGTGGGGTCAGAGACCGCAATGTCTCTGTGCTCGGGAGATCCCTCCCACATTATTTGATGAGCTGTCACATGTTGTCCTCCCTCTGTCCCCAACAGAATGACAACTTAGACTTGGTCAAGGCCCTCATTGTGTTTGGAGCAGAGGTGGACGTCCCAAATGACTTCGGGGAGACTCCTGCATTAATAGCCTCCAAGATCAGCAAAAGTATGTACTTTGCCACCTGGGACTAGAGTTGCGCAGGGACAGGGGCAGACTGAGGACGAACTGCTCAGCCATTAGGTGCCAGTGCCCTGTGCTGACCACCACTGCTCCCTGCTGAGGGTGGCCAGGAGCATGTGGGGCTCCAAGAGGGGGCGTCCTTCCCCCAAGGCAGGCTCACCAAGGGCTGGCCAAGCTGGGTCCTTTCCCATGCAGCCCCTGGGGGTTCAGATTCCCCTATGGGAGCACGATTAGGATGGGCAGCAGCAGAATGGCCTTGGGATGTGCAGGATGGGTGTGTGCATGCCTGTAACACCTTCGCATGCCCTTAGTGCACAGACACGTGAGCATGCCTGTACACGCCTTTGCATGCCTTCATGTGCACAGACAGACATGTGCATGTGCGTAGACACACACGTGCATGCGCTACACCCCTGCGCACTGAGCCTGTATAGCACAGGAGGTGGCAGGTTGTCTTTACAGGGGCCCGGAGCCCCCTCTGGAGGGACCTGTGAGGTTTTTGTTGAGGTCTGACCTGCAACCTTGCCCCTTCTCCCTGGAGAGAGCTCGGCCCCCACCATCAGTTTAAACAACCTAGGTGGTCCATGCCCTCCCTGCTCCTGCTGTCTGCTCCCTTTGTGCTCAGGCCCTTGGCTCAGAGTTGTCCCTGCAGAGAAGGGAAAAGGTCACGGGTGGACAAGTGGAAGGCTGCTACCTTGTCCCTTTCAAACTCTGAAAGGAAATGTCACATGGAGGTTTTGAGAACTGCTCACCATGAAGATGGTTCCCCTGCCTCCTTGATTACATTAGAAGGAAAGAGGGAAACCCCAAAATAATGGGGCAGGTGACTCTGCCTTCCTTCTGTCCTACCCTGTGGTCCATCCCTGACACTCCCCACCCCAGTGCCGAGAGACGCGTGGAGCCTCACAGCCTGGCACTCAGCACACCCCACGGGCGGCTCCTGCACCGCCAGGCGGCCGGGCAGTGAGGCAGGGCTCCTGTGTGGAGGGAGGGACCTCACTTCCTTGTTGCCATTTCTCCTTCCCACCACGACAAGTGGTCACCAGGAAGGCGCTCTTGGCCCTGCTGAAAACCGTGGGGGCTGACTACCGCATCCCAAGCTTCCCAGAGGTCCCTGCGGCTCAGGGCTCTGCAGCGTCACCTCATCCCTTCTCCCTGGAGAGAGCTCAGCCCCCAGAGATCAGCTTAAACAACCTAGGTAGGCCTCTGCCCTCCCCCCGCCGCCCCCACCCACCCACCCCACAGGGCCCAAGCCTGGGCCCCAGCAACCCCCACTGGAGAGGAAGAATTGGATCCGAGGATGGGAGGAGTTGAAGGGAGCGAGAGATGAAGGGGAAGAGCTGTAAGCCAACCTGGACAGCCAAGCCCTGGGGAGACTCTAGCTGGAGTCCCCAGCAGGGTGCTTTGGACTCAGTCTGGGGCCCGGCATTACCCATGTTACCTGTGACATTCACCATCTCTTGTCCCCTGGGGGGATTCTGGTCCTTGGGTTTCCATCCTTGTCTTACTGAGTCTGTCCTGTGTGAGAGCCCCAGTCTGCCCCCTGCTGGTTTGGTCAGTGACCAGCATTTGTCCTCATGTGCCTTGGTACCCTTGGAGGACAGCCCCAGAGGACAGGACCCCTGCTCTGGCCTTCTGGAGTCTGGCTCACCAGGAGCCTAGGCTGTTGGGGAGGGGAGCTCCTGCTCCAAAGGCAGCCGGGAACCTATGGTTGGTGAGCTGACCTGCTAGCCACGGTGGAGGCAGATCCCAGTCCCTCCAGCACAGCACCCGCCATCCCCACTGCCCCCAGCACCCCATCTTTCTCTCTCCATTTTACAGGCAGGCAGTCTCCCAAGCCAGGCTGGACAGTAGGCCTGGGGCGTGGCGGCAGAAGGGTAATGCTTGGGCCTAGGAAAGCCGCTGAGCCCAGCCCTGCCCACAAAGCCTCAGCCCTGGTCCCCTCTCCTTTCCTCAGTTGTACCTCCAGGCACACGCACCTCCCCCCCACCCCAGCACTACCCCTCCTGGCTAGCCTCCTGCTGACCCTGCCTGCTCCTTGGCCATGTCCTGGGTGGGGGGGACACTGCCTTGCTCCTGCCTGCCTGCCGTACTGCCTGCCGTACTGCCTGCCTCTAGCTCCTGCACCATCGCGCATGGGCTGTCAGTCACGTGCCGGGCACGCGAGCACGGACGTGTGGGGTTGCACTGCTTGTTGGGAGGGGGTGGGCCTTACGTCCAGAGGACAACTGGATGGAGAGGATGAGTGGGTGCAACTGAATCCCCAGGCCACCAAGGAAGTTTTCAGACCTGGGGCCAGGACAAAGGATGGGTGGGATGTGCCCCTCATTCTTGGAGTCCAGTCCTCAGCCTTGTCCGCACTAAGCCCTTCTGATGGGTCTCGGAGCACGTTTGGGGCCTGCTAGCACGTTGGCAGCAATAGCTGTGATGCCCCTGGGGAGCTGAGAGCAGCCAGGTCTGCACTGGGCAGCGCTTGCGCACTGAGTCGCCGGGCACTGGGGCAGAGTTTCAGGAGGAGGTGGGAGGGGCTGTGTGCTGGGGAGCCAGGGCCGGGGTCATTCCCAGCGGGCCCATGGGCCCTGGGGCAGGAAGCAGAGGGTCAGGGCACAGGGAGAGACAACTAGCTGGGGCACAGCTCTACTGGTGTCTAAGGATCCATGAGATGTGCAGCATGCCCTGCCCTGTGCCCCGCAGAGCTGCAGGACCTCTTGCCCATCTCCCGGGCCCGGAAGCCGGCATTCATCTTGAGCTCCATGAGGGACGAGAAGCGGACGTAAGTGGAGCCGAGGCCAGGGCCAGGCCGGTATGGACGCCTCCCTTGGTGTCCCTTGTCCCACCCTGCCTAGTGAGGCAGCTTTCCACCCAGTCCTGCGGCCTGTGATGACGTAATCATTCCTTCAGGCAGTGCGGGCTCACACAGCAGCCTTAGGGCACTGCCATCGTGTGGCCCTCTTCCCTGACCATACATAGTTGGAGCATCCTCCAGACCCCTCTGCAGATTCCAGCACTGTCTCTTGGCTCCCCATGGCTTCCTCATTCACCTTTCTCCCTCCACAGATGAGTTGTTTCCCGAGTTGTGTCCCCAGGCCCATGGGGGAGGCCCTGGGGGCGCCAGTGTGCCAGACACTCAAGTCCTTCTGCCAAGTCTGTTACTGGAGCCTCTGAGCCCTAGGTCTGAATCTGAGCACTCCTTCCCCCCCCCCCCCCCCCCCCAATTAGGAGAAAATGGCCTACTCTGTATGTGAATGGAGAAATGAATTCATTTGTAGTTTTGGCCCCAAAACTCTGGTTCTCCTCTCCCCCGGCCTCTGTCTGTGGACTTTGAGCCCCAGTGACCGGAAGTGGGAGAGGGTCCAGAGCACAGGGCGGACCACTTTCACTCCCAAGCAGGGTATTTCCTATCAGCATGCACATTGCAAGGACCCCCTTTGCCCAAGCCTGTCCCTTTAGGCACAGACCCTGGTGAATGTTAGCCAGCCCAGCACGATGCCAGGACAGGGACTTGCCACCTGACTGCAGAAATCCCCCTCACTTGATGACACCATCTTGCAGTTAGAGCAGAGCTGGCCCCTGGCTAGTGGAGCATCGAGCCCAGAGGTGAGGGCAGAGAGAAGCAGGTGAACCAAGGGCCGGTGTTCATAGACAGCTCTGAACCCAGGGGGACAGGGCAGCTGCGCCTGAGGGGCCCGCTGACTTTGGGGAGTTTGTAGACAGCAAGTCAAACTGAGAGGGAAAGATGAGAAGAGACCGGAAGGAAGGCGGCCCCTCAAGCCTGACCAGAGAGGCCAGGCGCCTGCGCCTCGGGGGCCAGCAGGAGGATGTGACTTTGTGCCAGTCTCCTCACTTGTGGCCTTCATTCCTCCACTCACACAGGTGGGCACGGGGCAGCACAGAGTGAGCTAATGCCCATGTCCCCCGCATTGCAGGGCCTTGGCACACAGACCTTCCAACCTCCCTTATCTCCCAAATGGAAAGCCCTCTCCCCCAACCTGACCCAGCTGCAGGGAGCCTCCCCCCGCCCCCGCGCCCCCTCCCCCATTCCCTTCTAACAGACTTTGCTCAGCACCTGCTTTGGGGCAGGCCTAGAACTGACCTGGAACTGTGCCATTGCCCTCCTACCTTTTCCCTTCACCCCACCCACTCCCCACTAGCACACTGGCCCCACGCAGGCCTGGCCGGCTTTGCTGGCGTCCACTACAGTAGAGATGCTGGGGGGCATTAGCTGCGAGTGTGGGGGCAGGGGTGCCGAGTCATCACGGGACCCCCGCCCCCCGCCCTGGGCTCCCTGTGCTGTCCCCTGCAGCCATGATCACCTGCTTTGCCTGGATGGAGGGGGCGTGAAAGGCCTGGTCATCATCCAGCTCCTCATCGCCATCGAGAAGGCCTCTGGCATGGCCACCAAGGACCTCTTTGACTGGGTGGCAGGGACCAGCACCGGGGGCATCCTGGCCCTGGCCATTCTGCACAGTGAGTGTCCCTGGGAGAGGGGTGACGGGGTGGGCTCAGACCTCTGAGGACCAAGTGCCTCTGCAGAGCTTTGCATGAAGTTGGGGTAAGGATGTAGGGCAGCACCTTGGCCCTTCATGGGGTCCTTGGGGTGCTGGGGTCCCAGGTTGTACAGACTGACTCAGAGGGCAAAGCTAGTTTAGGGGGTGTTCATGTGCCGGGGCCTCGTTCCCACTCCAGCCAACCCTGTGGAGCTCACCACCTCGCCTGAGGGGAGCCCCTGAGTCAGAACACCGGAGCCCAAGCCTCATGGCTCACCCACGGGCTTCCTCAGGCCAGAGAAGCCCCTAGACCCCCAGCCCATCACAGTGGCTGTCCACTCCATCTCCTTTCGTGCAGCCCAGCACAGGTGACAGGTGCTTGGTTTATCGGCCAGAGACATGCCACCCAAGTGGTGTCTCCTTTGTGGAGTGGAGCTGGGGTGCTGGCTGGCAGGACACTCGGGTCAGCCCTGCCCAGTACAGGCAGCAGGGCCGCTCCCATCTTCTCCAAGAGCCTTCGAAACCTGCAGCCTGGTGACCAACCCCTGGAGGCCTGCAGCAGGGTCTTCCCAAGCCTCTCTCCAGGTCTTTAGACTCCAGGGTGCTCTGTGTGTGTGTGTGTGCATGTGCGTGTGTGTACATGCACACTTATGCGTGGGTATTGAGGTTTGAACTCTTCTTTTTTCTCTCTTTCTTTTTTTTTTTTTGTTGCCAGTCCTGGGGCTTGAACTCAGGGCCTGGGCACTGTCTCTGAGCTTCTTTTGCTCAAGGCTGGCACTCTTAGCACTTGAGCCACAGCACCACTTCTGGCTTTTTGTGTATGTGGTATTGAAGAATGAAACCCAGGGTTTCATGCATGCTAGACAAGCGCTCTACCACTGAGCCACGTTCCCAGCCCATAGGTTTGAACTCTAGATTAGTTTTTCGCTCAGGATGGTGCTCTGCCTCCAGTCTAGCTTTTTAGTGGTTAGTTAGAGATAAGAGTCTCATAAATATTTCTGCCTGTGCTGATGTTAACCTGCAATCCTCAGATCTCAGCCTTTTTTTTTTTTTTGGTCAGTCATGGGACTTGAACTCTGGGCTTGAGTGCTGTCCCTGAGCTCTTCAGCTAAAGGCGAGTACTCCACCGCTTAAGCCACAGTGCCACTTCCAGTTTTTTAGTGGTTTATTGGAGGTAAGAGTCTCATGGACTTTCCTGCCAGGGCTGGCTTTGAATTGCAATCCTCAGATCTCAGCCTCCTGAGTAGCTACAATTATAGGCGTGAGCCACTGGCGCCAGGCAGATCTCAGCCTTTTGGATAGCTAGGATGACAGGCATGAGCCAAGGCTCTCCTGGGCACTTTGGAAGGGGGTTGTGAAGTCACCTGGCTCATCTTCTCACACAGGTGGAAGCCACTTTCCACTGCCAGGGTGGCAGCTCTGGCCTGGGACTTACTGCCTCGGGGCAGGGGGGAATGGGTGGCCTCTCTCACCTTGCAGGCTCAGAGGACAGGCTGCTGTACCTTGCCTATGACACTTAGTAGGGATTAGCTTTCACAGACATCTAGGACCCTTTAAGGAAAACGGTGCAGAGGTGTGAACACCAGATGAGGTACAGAGCCTTGGGGCTGCTGACGGGGCTTGGGCTTGTGTGCGACTCACCAGGAGGGGCCTGGAAGTCTAATTGACCCGGCATCCTCCACCGCCTGCCAGCGCCGGTCCCCGGTCCCCATGGCTGGCCTGCGCAGACCCTCTTCCTGGACGGTCTTGGGTGTGGCCCTCAAGTCTCCCCTCCCCCCACTGTTCCCAGGCAAGTCCATGGCCTACATGCGTGGCGTGTACTTCCGCATGAAGGACGAGGTGTTTCGGGGCTCAAGGCCCTACGAGTCGGGGCCCCTGGAGGAGTTCCTGAAGCGGGAATTTGGGGAGCACACCAAGATGACAGATGTCAAGAAACCCAAGTAAGCCCCTTCTGGTAGCCCCTCCTCACCGGAAGGTCACTGGGGACTGAGCATAGCACTCTTCCATTCACCCTGGTGATGCCCTTCCCTGAGCTCAGCCCGTGGGCCTGAGCGTGGGAGAGGGCATCTGAGTAGCTGGTGCGGATTCATGGAGCGTCCCCTCCCATTCTACCAAATCCTCAGGGCCTTCCCCACTTAGAAGAGACCCCAAAGTCATCTGCCCAACAGCCAGCAGTGAGCCGGCAGTCTGTCTGCCCTGCAGTGTTCTGGACTACCCAGTGAAGGCAGCAGTCACTGCCCTGCCCAACACTAATCTGATGCTGCCCCCCACCCCCGCCAGGTGGCGCTGCCCCTGGCACCGCCCTCCGTATCTCTTTCCAGGGCCTGTGCAGTGCGCCTGCTAATTTTCTAGACATGCCAGATGCCATTTGTTCTAACATTTGTTACCTTCCATTTTGCACAATTTCAATCTGTTATGCCTTTCTTTGTTTGCCTCTTCGTTGGGTTTTGGGGCTCTGTATTTGTATTATGGAATATCTAGGTACACATTTCCCCTAATTTTCTGGATATATAGATACAGCTTTTTCCTAATTTATCCTGCATAGGATTTTTTTTTTTTTTTTTTTTGGGTCTGGTCGTGGGGCCTGAACTCTGGGCCTAGGCACTGTCCCTCAGCTCTTCAGCTCAAGGCTAGAGCTCTACCACTTGAGCCATAGTGCCACTTCTGGCTTTTTTTCTTTTTGCTTATGTGGTGCTGAGGAATCGAACCCAGGGCCTCAGGCATGCAAGGCAAGCACTCTACCACTGAGCCACCTTCCCAGCCCCCTGCATAGGATTTTTTGTTGCTTCCATTGTGGGTTTTTTTGTTGTTGTTGTTGTTTGTTTGTTTTTTTTGTTGGTCATGGGGCTTGAACTCTGGGTCTGGGCGCTGTCCCTCAGCTCTTCGGCTCAAGGCTAGCGTTCTACCACTTGAGCCACAGCACCACTTCCGGCTTTTTCTGCTTATGTGGTACTGAGGAATCAGACCCAAGGCCTAATGTATGCAAGGCAAGCACTCTACCACTGAGCCACCTTCCCAGCCCCCCATTGTGGGTTTTTTGCTTTGTTTTTTGCCGGTCCTGGGACTTGAACTCAGAGCCCTGTGTCCCTGAGCTTCTTTTGCTAGCACTCTACCACGACCCACAGCACCACTTCCGGCTTTTTCTGTATATGTGGTACTGAGGAATCAAACCCAGGGCTTCATGCATGCTAGGCAAGCACTCTACTACTAAGCCACATTTTCAGCCCTGCCACCGTGTTTTAATATTTTGGTTTGACTCTGCCTTCAGTTTTGGAACTCCCAAGTCATTATCCCTTTAACTCCTGCCTTTGCCTAGTTTTCTGTCTATCCTTCTCCCATAAATTCAGTTAATACAGACATTTTTGCTCTTTTCTCTCAATGTCTTTTAACTTACCTTTTCTGTCATTGTATTTCTCTATCATTTTTTATTCTTTTTCTGGATAATTTCTATTTACCTATTTTCCAACTCATGAATTCTCTCTTTAGCGTTATCTAATTTTTCATTTAACACATCCATTGAGTTCTTTAGTCTATTCTTGTATGTATTGATATTTTTCAGTCTCAAAAGTACTCAGGCAGGCTGGGAAGGTGGCTCAGTGGTAGAGTGCTTGTCTCGCATGCATGAGGCCCTGGGTTCGATTCCTCAGCACCGCATAAGCAAAAAGAAAAAAAGCCGGAAGTGGCGCTGTGGCTCCAGTGGTAGAGCGCTTGCCTTGAGCTGAAGAGCTGAGGGACAGTGCCCAGGCCCAGAGTTCAGGCCCCATGACCAGCCAAAAAAAAAAAAAAAAAGTACTCAGGTACCAGTGGCTCATTCCTGTAATCCTAGCTACTCAGGAGGCCGAGATCTGAGGATAGAGGTTAAGCCAGCCCCGGTAGGAATGTTGGTGAGACTCCTATCTCCAATTAACCACCAGAAAACCAGAAGTGATGCTGTGGCTCAAGTGGTAGTAGAGTGCTTGACTTGAACTGAAGAGCTAAGGGATAGCACCCAGGCCCAGAGTTCAAGCCCCACAACTGCCCCCCCCTCCAAAAAAAAATACTCTGGTTCTTCTTCGAATTTTTCAGGTCTTTTTTGTTGCTGTTGTTGGTTGTGGGGCTTGAACTCAGAGCCTGGGCACTGTCCCTGAGCTTTTATATTTAAGACTAGCACTCTTCTACTTTGAGCCATTGCGCCACTTCTGGTTTTCTGGTGGTTAATTTGGGATAAGAGTCTCATGGACTTTCCTGCCTGGGTTGGCTTCAAACCATGATCCTCAGATCTCAGCTTCCTGAATAGCTAGCATTATAGGCGTGAGCCATGGTGCCTGGCTCAGGTCATTATTGATAGTCCCTCACCCCCCCCCCCCCCCATTTTGGTGGTTCTGAGGTTTGACCTCGGGGCTTCATCCTTGCCAGGAAAGCACTCTACCACTTGAGCCATGCCCCAGTCCTTTTTTTATTTTAGTTTGGTTTTCAGGTAGACTTTTGCCTAGGCTAGTAGTATTGGACTGTGATCGTCCTATTTCATGCATGTGTCAGCATTTACAACCTCTTATCCCCTTAAGATTTTATCAAGCTTAGCTTGCTAGCTTCAAACATTATGAGTATCGCCACGTAGTCATCTTAATTTACAACCTCCGATATCTGAAGGCTCTGTAGATACATTGTGCTGTTTCTGTGGTTTGAACTCGTTCTCACTCATGGTGGTTTATCTCATTGTGTGTACACTTTTTGTTATTTTTAACCACGTGCTGCTCCTTAGTGTTGAGAATAATACATGCAGATTCTGTGAAGGCCAGAATGGGCTTCCTTGATCGAGAGAGTTGACCTGTTCTAGACACTGGACACTAACGGCTAGGCTGCTGTCCTGGAGGTTCAGAGCCTTACCCCCAGATGATGTGAATCTTGACTCCCTGTGCATGAGGGCTAGTATAGTCAATGTTTTCTGAGGTTTGTGTCTTCCCAGGGCCAGGACAGCTTTCCTTATAGTCCCAGGGTCTGGAAAAGGGTGATTTCTTTCCAGCCCATCTTTATCCTGATGCTAGAAGCTACACACTGAGGATCCCCAACACAGCATGGGAAGGCTCCAGCCAGACCCTCTCCTCTGAAGGGCCCTGGACTTTGACCTGGTCCCCCTTGCCCTAGAGAACTCCTGAAGTTCAAGCTTTCCGCGGTTTGTAATTTGCCTCTGGTTAGAGTAGAGATGGGGCTGAGTTCTTGCTTATTCTCCGTTTTTCCTGCTCTTTTCTATCTTGTCAGATCTCTTATGCTTTTAAGATTAAAAATATATGTAGCATTGCAGTTTTTCTCAACGGGAGCACTGTTGAAATAATCTTCCCGCAGTATTCACATAAGTGAGGGAAAATCCTTTGTTCAGGGTTGTTTCCCTTCCTCTGTATTTTTCTTTACAATATAACGAGTTCATTTCTGGTTTACTCTGTAAGCATAATTTTGAATGGCTGTAAAGTGTTTTATTGTTTCCTTACCCTTCTGTTCCAGCTAGATTTTCACTCTAATAAATCACAGGGCAAAGAATAGCCTTGCACCAGAAGCCACTATTGTGGTCCGGATTGTTCCTTTAGGACAGACTTTATCCAGGGTGGAATTTTCAGATCAAAGGAGCTGGGACTTAACACATACTAGCTTCTCACCAGGGCACTCCTCAGTGTTTAGGGTGCCTGTGTCTCAGGATCAGGAGGAGGCTTCTCAGTAGGCTGTTGAAAAGTCTCAAAAGTCCCCCCGCATGCCCTTCCCCAAAGCCGCCCGTGCTGCCTGATGCCAACGTCCCTTCAGAGTTGCCCTCTGGCTGTGTAAACAGGAACATATGTTGTTTCGGTTTTGAGTAAATGGTGGCCTACTAACTGTCCCAGAGTCCACTCCCTGTCAGTACGTAAACATATCCACAGCCGTTCTATGAGGGCTCCGAGCCCATCGGGCAGATGGCCTCGGGGTATTGCACTGGCCTGCTGATGGACACCCCAGCTATTTTTTAGTGGTTTGCTCTGGTTTGGTTTTGGGTGTTTTTGAGACAGGATCTCACCGTGGAACAGCTCAGGCTTGCCTCAGTCTTCCTGCTCTCCCTTCAGAGTGCTGGGATTACAGGTGTGTGTGAACACCCCTGGCGCTGTTTACTTAGGAAGTGGCAGCTGCCATTCCTGGCCTTTGGCAGCCTGTCTTGCATACATGTGATTGCTCAGGACAAATTCCCCGAAGTGGGTTTTTGGGCGTAAGGATAAACCTGTGGGAAATGTGGCGCTTTTCGCCAAATCACCTCCATGGGCTGACCACCAGTGCTACAGACACCGGGAAGGACAGTCTGGAGAATCCCGGCACCGTGTGGGTGGCAGCTCTGCCAGGTGGTGGGGAGCGTGGACCAGGTGGCCGGTCAGCGCCTCGCTCCTTCTCCCCAGGGTGATGCTGACTGGGACGCTGTCGGACAGGCAGCCTGCTGAGCTCCACCTCTTCCGGAACTATGAGGCACCAGAGGCCGTTCGGGAGCCTCGCTTCACTCAGAATGTTAACCTAAAGCCGCCAACCCACCCCTCAGGTTCAAACCATGTTTAATGCTTATGTGGATGCGGGTGATGGATGTGAGTCGCGGAGGGGCATCGGGTACTCTCAAACCCCCTCCCACCACCCCTGTCCTGATTGGCTGAGGACAAGCGTTGCTGGGGGCTCCTGGGCCCCACTGACACCGCACCTTCACTGGGATGTAGGACACCTGTCCCTACACCCCACACTTGCACCCTGAGATCTGAAGGGCACAGGCCTTATACCAGCTCTTGTGCCAACCTGGTCCCCTCCCCCTTCCCCTAGACCAGCTGGTATGGCGGGCGGCGCGGAGCAGTGGGGCAGCCCCTACCTACTTCCGGCCCAACGGGCGCTTCCTGGACGGCGGGCTGCTGGCCAACAACCCCACACTGGACGCTATGACCGAGATCCATGAGTTCAACCAGGACATGATCCGCAAGGTGAGAACCATGCAGCCCCGGGCTGGCATGTTTGCACAGGGCAGACATCCTCTGCACCGGGAAGCCCGGTGGCCCTTCTGCCGCCCACGGGTGCCCGCAGCCTAGGAACCAGGCATTCCGAGGCCCAGTGCATGCCCACTGCCAGGGGACAGCCAGGACGCACGTCTCCTGGACAGACTGTAGTTGGGCCAGACCCTCTACAAAGCCTGGATGCCAGTGGCTGTCTGTGTGCAGGGCTCAGAGGACCCGGGAAGGGCTGGCAGCCTCTCAGAGCCATCATGGTAGAGCAAGGCAGCCTGTAAAACACTGATACAGATCCCGAATCTGCCCTTCCCTGCCTGCCATGGCTGCCCTCCTCCCTGAGGGTGGCCCTGTGAGGCCTGTGGTACACAGGTGCTGGCCCCAGAGATGGCCATGATGCCCACACCAGCTTGTCTGCAAGAGTCTGCACTCAGACACACTGCCAGACCCCCCCCCAGGGCCACGTCCCCTTCCTAGTGCCCGCCTGGACCTCCCACTGCCCCCCACTGCCCTCTGTGAGAGGTCCTCTCTGCCCCCCATACCCTTGTGGGAGGTCCTCTCTGACTTCCCCTGTGCTCCCTGTGGGAGGTCCCTTCTGCCTCCCCTGTATCCCCCATGGGAGGTCCCCTTTGACCCTGTCCTGCTCACCACAGGGCCAGGGGAGCAAGGTGAAGAAACTGTCCATCGTTGTCTCCTTGGGGACAGGGAGGTCCCCGCAGGTGCCGGTGACCTGTGTGGATGTCTTCCGGCCCAGCAACCCCTGGGAACTGGCCAAGACCGTTTTCGGGGCCAAGGAATTGGGCAAGATGGTGGTGGACTGTGTGAGTTGGGGCCTCCCCCAGGCTATCACCCCCCCCCCCCCGTCCTCATGGGTGACAGTGGGGCTCTGTCCAGCCTCCTAATGTCTCCGGGCTGGGCCTGTCCCTCAGCAGTGCCCTTGGTGGGGTTCTTCAAACCATCTTTACCCGTTCATCTCTTGAGAGAGCCAGGTGTGCATGGACTAAAGCCACAGGGGGAGGTGTCACCCTGCCACTGCCCCCCCATACCCCAGTGAGCTGTGTGTGCCGCGCAGGCCCTGCCCCTCTGACTGCTCAGCTGGGCATCACCGAGGCCCAGAGTCACCCTGGTGGTGGGTGGAGCCCAGTGGGGAAAGGCCAGTGCTAGGCGGGGCTCACAGAGGCTCTTCTCACCAGTGCACAGATCCAGATGGGCGGGCCGTGGACCGGGCCCGGGCCTGGTGCGAGATGGTTGACATCCAGTACTTCAGGTGAGGCTCAGGCCTGGCGGGACCCGTTGGCCCCCAGGCCGGGCCCCCTGGTGAGCCCGGCTCCTTGGCTCACACAGATTGAACCCCCAGCTGGGGATGGACATCATGCTGGATGAGGTCAGCGACGCTGTGCTGGTGAACGCTCTGTGGGAGACGGAGGTGTACATCTACGAGCAGCGGGAGCAGTTCCAGAAGCTGGTCCAGCTGCTGCTCGCTCCTTGAGCCCCCGACCCACCGCCGGCCCGGGACCGCAGAGCCGGCCTGCAGCTCCATGATCACCAGGGGCCGGCGGCTGCATCCGGGGGCCAGCCCCCCGCCTTGTCACTTCAGGCCCCCCTTGGCCCCTTTCCTGACTTGCCTGAGGGACTAAAAACCAGGGGAGCCCCACCCCGCCTGGCCTGGAGGCCAGCCCACCCAATCTACCCCCTTCCCTGGCGGTAGGGGCCAGAGAAATGGGGAGTCACTGCCCCACTACTTACAGAAACACAGGCTCCAGGAGTGGGGTGTCCCATTCAACTTTGCCCTCTGCACACCCCAGCACCCCACCCCTAGAGCTGCCCAGCTCCCAAAGGTCACTCCTGTGAGCTCACTTCCCTGCCCACGTGCTGTGAGAACAGGAGGGGCCACCCCGAAATGTGAAATAAATTATTCTGACTCAGGTGGCCCTGTGCAGTGTGCTTTATGGGGTGGGTGCCCCCTCGGCTCCAGCTCTCCGTCCCCCACCCGCAGTGTCTTCTGGTATCCCATCCCTGCGCCCAGTCTCCCTGGGGCAAGCTGGAAGATGGCCAGAGGTGGCTGGCAGGCCCACCTGCCCAAGCAAGTCCAGAGGGAAGCGGGGCTCCATGCTCGTGGGAGCAGATGAGCACGGCCACACTCTGCCCCTGCCCCGCGGGCCGCTTTCCGCTGGGCTAGGGGTGGAGCTCAGCGGTGAGCCCTTGCCTAGCATCCATGAGGCCCTGGGCTCCATCCCCAGCATGGGCCTGGACACAGCCAGGTGAGCCTACGTGGGGTCACCTGTGCAGATGCTCCTGCTGGGAGGATGCCCAGAGCCTGGGGACAGGGGCTGCCAGTGCCCTGGAGAGGCAGACAGCAAAACAGGGTCCCCCAGAGAGAGTGTCACAGCCACCAGTGCCCACCACCAGCCTCTGCAAGACAGGGGTAAATAATTGAAAGCCGGTCACCCGAGCCGCCTGCGTCACAGACCTCCCCCCCCCCGCCTGGGTCTGGTTACGCCCCAGATCACATTGACATCCCGCCTGGTGAATAATTAAGCAGCTGCCTCCTTCCAGGCCAGGCCCAGGGCTGCAGCGCACACTTGCAGCCACCTTGCTCCCTGGGGCTCCCAGCCCGGCCTCCGCCTCCTCAGTGCCAGCTCAGCTGCCCATGGCCCCCGAGATGGACCAGTTCTACAGATCCACCATGGCCATCTACAAGGTGAGCATGCGGGACCCAGCCAGGAGAATAGACGGCCCTCGAGCCAGCGCTTTGGGAGGGGGGCCAGGGCTGTGGGAAGGGGGCCGGGGTGGACTGAGCTTTGGGCCTTGGGCGGGCATTCCTGGGGATAGTGGCCATCCTTGCCCCCACCCCCCAGGCAGACCCAGGCTGGGGAACCAGGGCAGTTGTGGCTTAGAGACCCACAGAGCAGAGCATAAAGTCCACCCGGTCCCCTTGGAAAGGAGCTGGGACCGGGGCCTCTCATTTCCCACCTCACCTCTAGTAGAGCTGTTACAGTCTCTGTAGACACATTTATTAAGCGCCTCCTTGTATGCAGGGCCCCCTCACACACAAGCCTCACGCCACCCTACTTGTGAGATAGAAAATGAACCATGCTGTGGGGCAGATGAGAAAACTGAGAGCTTGAACCCCATGTTCAAGGTCACCCAGGGAGGAAGAGGTGCTACTGGGATTTGAATCAAGGCTCAGTGCCAAGTCTTAAGTCTGAGGTTCTGTCTCCAGCACCCATTAATACTTTCCAACTGGCCTGACCCCGGGTGGCCAGGGTGACCCAGCCGGAGCCTGGATCCTGGATCCTGGGGTGGGGGTGGGGGGTGTCGTCTTTGAGATGGGTGAGATCTGCCTGCACCGCTGGGTGCAGAGAAGCCCTGTGAGTTCAGCCTGGGCAAAGCTGGACCCAGGGCTGGGGCAGGGGTATGAACACAAGCTGGCTGGGAAGGGGTCCCCAAAAGATGGTCCTGGAGGCCTCTGCAGCTGAGAGGATTCTGGGCTCCCGAGGGGTGGGCCCCCACTTCTCTCTGGGGCTGGGTACCACCACCCCTCCCTCCCTTCTGCTCCCGCCATGGCCGGCCTCCTCTCCCCTGGGCGCAGAGCATCATGGAACAGTTCAACCCCGCCCTGGAGAACCTGGTGTACCTGGGTAATAACTACCTGCGGGCCTTCCACGGTGAGTGCTCCCCTCAGCGTCCCAGCCTATAACTCAACACCCCACGCCAGCTGTCTTCAGCTCTCGCCTCTCACTCGGTGCTCTACCCCCCCATGTCCCCCCACCCCCAAAATACAAATGGGGGACCTGCTCTGTGCCAGGCCCCAGGGAACCTGTGTCCCTGCTTGTCCCCTGACCAATGCCACAGCTGCACACAGTGCCCAAGGTGCACACACACACACACACACACACACAGATCCCCATCACGCTCCCTCCACATCCTCTCCATACCAAAGGAGGAGTCTTGACAGGGAGGCTGGGAGGTTCAGCATTCGAGGCTGAGGCCACTCTCTCCCTGCAGCTCTGTCTGAGGCAGCCGAGGTGTACTTCAGCGCCATCCAGAAAATTGGGGAGCAGGCCCTGCAAAGCTCTACCTCTCAGATTCTGGGTGAGGCACCCCCTCTACTTCAGGCTCCCTGTCTTGGGCCTGGGGGGGGGTGGGGAGCAATCCTCCTCAAGCTCTCACCTGCTCAAGGCTGGAGCCCCACATTTGCTCACATTCTAAAGCCCAGAGGGGGGTCCTTATACACACTGTCCTTCTCAGAAGCCTGGCACCCCCAACTCAAGCCTGCAGCCCAACATCCACAACCCCTCCCCCACTCCCTGAGTGCAGACGGGGCTGTGCCCAGTACCCAGGCTCCAGTAGAGCAGGTGGGAAGTCCCCGGACTTTGTTCCTCAGGCTGGCGGGCGGGAGGAGGGCGGGCATGGCTTCTCGGCTCCTCACACTGAAGCTTCTTCCTCCAGGTGAGATCCTAGTGCAAATGTCCGACACACAACGGCACTTGAACTCAGACCTGGAGGTGGTGGTGAGTGTCTGTCCCCAGGCCTGGTGGCCACACAAGCATCTGGGGCCCATTTCCAGGAGAACAAGGGAGGCCTTCCCGGCCCTCCCCTGCCCCTCCTCCCCAGGGTCTGCCCAGGTGCACGGTCTGTAGTAGATCAGTGGTGCCTTCAGCACACTCAGGGCCTTCCATTTTACAGAAGAGGAGCTGAGTCTTTCAGATCTAGTTCATCGCTTAGGATCGGGGGGGGGGGGGGGGGGGACTGGGAAGAACAAGGATCAGCCAGGCACCTGCAGCTCATACCTGTAATTCTAGCTACTCAGTAGGCTGGGATCTGAGGATCTCAGTTTAAAGCCAGCTCTGGCAGGAAAGTCTGTGAGACTCTTATCTCCACTAAACTACCAGAAAACTGGAAGTGGTGCTGTGGCTCAAGTGGTAGAGTGCTAGCCTTGAGCTGAAGAGTACAAGGACAGCACTCGGACCCAGAGTTCAAGCCCCAGGACCAACAATAATAAAGAAAGAAAGAAGGAGGGAAGGAAGTAGGGAAGGAAGGAAGGAAAGAAAGAAAGAAGAGAGTTCCTGAGTTTAAAGCCCAGATCCAGCCAGGCACCAATGGCTCCCACCTGTAATCCTAGCTACTAGGAGGCTGAGATGTGAGGATCACAGTTTAAAGCCAGCCTGGGCAAGAAAGTTGTGAGGCTCTTATCTCCAATTAACCACCAAAAAGCCAGAAGCAGAGCTGCAGCTCTAGTGGTAGAGCACCAGCCTTGAATAAAAAAGCTAAGCAAGAATGTAAAGCCCTGAGTTCAAGTCCCCTCCATACACAAGCTCAGCTCCACTAGTTACCTGCTTTGTGCCTTTGGACTCTATGCCTCAGTTTACCTATCAGACCTCACCTGTATCTCCCCCTCTCCCTACATCTTGGCTGTAACAAACAAGATAGACTTCACCTTACCAATCTGCAAGGTAGGACTTTTGTTTTTTCTTTTTTAGTCAGTAGTGGGGCTTGAACTCTGGGCTTAGGCACTGTCCCTCAGCTCTTCAGCTCAAGGTGAGCGCTCTACCACTTTGAGCCACAGCGCCACTTCCAGTTTTCTGAGTGGTTTATTGGAGATAAGAGTCTCACAGACTTTTCCTGCCCTGGCTGGCTTTGAACCATGATCCTCAGATCTCAGCCTCCTGAGTAGCTAGGATGACAGGCGTGAGCCACCAGCGCCCAGCAAGGTGGGACATGTTTACTCTGTAGCTGCAGAGCCTGGAGGGGCGTGGCTCTGAGCTGCAAGATGGAGACAGGAGAGGAGCGAAGAAGGATAAAAGGAGAGAAGGGAGAGAGGGGGGCTTCCAGGGCACAGAGTGGGGGGCAGAAGGGAGCCAGAGCCTGCTGCCAGGCAGGAGAGGTGGGAACAGGGTCTGGTGGTGACAGCCTGGAAGGCCGAGGAGGAACTTCCATGTGATAGTTCCCAGGCTCAGAATTATAGCAGGGTAGGGGGGGATCCTAAAGACAGAGTGCTCTTGGGGGACGCCGTAAACACTGTTTGGTGTGGGCATCTGTTTCACGGAGAGAAAATATCCATCCCGCACACGCGTGCAGCGCTGTGCCCTGGCCCCTTGGGCCAGGGCCTCTGTGACCACTTTGGGGTGGTGTTGTGTCCCCAGTGTCCTTGGGCATCGCCGAGGGAGCTGTGCCTTCCTGTCCTGGTGTTATTTGTGGCACACCTGGGCTAGGCAGGGACAGATGTAAGGAGAGCCACCCTCTCCAGATACCATGTCTTGGCTGTGACAACCAGTGGGGGGCCCCCTAGAACTGTACCAGAACAGTGCCAGAAACTGGAGGTCCCCCCACCCAGGCTCCTTCCTGCCCAGGCCCCGGCCGGGTCTCTGCCCCCCCCCAAGTGTCCCTGATTTGCCTGCAGGGGCTCTTGATCCCTCCCCCAGGGTCCTGGATCCAGACCAGCGGGTCAGTGGCCTCTCCCACAGAAGACTCAGGATAGCTATGGAGCAGGGGTAGGGTGGGGAACATCAGGGGAAGCGATTTTTAACAGCTGCTGGAGGGAAATGCTACCAGAAAGGGAATAGAGAAAGGGCCAAAGGGAGCGGGGTGCTGGTGGCTCACACCTGTCATCCTAGCTACTCAGGAGGCTGAGATCTGAGGATCATGGTTCAAAGCCTTCCCCGGGCAGGAAAAGTCCGTGAGACTCTTTATCTCCAATTAGCTACAGAAAACCTGAAGTAGCGCTGTGGTTCTAGCGGTAGAGTGCTAGTCTTGAGCTGAAGAGCTGAGAGATAGTGCCCAGGACCAGAGTTCAAGCTCCACGATTGAACCAAAAGAAAAAGAAAAAAAGAAAGGGCTAAAGGGGCATGGGTGAGGAGAGCCAGGGGCCCAGCAGGGGGCGGGCAGAGGAGCAGCAGGGAAAGATGGGCTTGCAGGGCGTCAGTG